GCAAAACCAGTGGAACAACCTGCCTCCAGAAGCGGTGAATGCTCCAACACTGGAAGTTTTTAAGAAGAGACTGGACAGCCATTTGTCCGAAATGCTATAGGGTTTCCTGCCTGAGCAGGGGGTTGGACTAGATGACCTTCAAGGTCCCTTCCAACTTTATTATTATTATTATTATTATTATTATTATTATTATTATTATTATTATTATTATTATTATTATTATTATTATTATTATATAAAACAATGGCTTCAACAGCACAGAATACGCCTTCTGGAGTGGCCCAGTCAGAGTCCTGACCTCAACCCGATTGAAATGTTGTGGCATGACCTTAAGAGAGCGATTCACACCAGACATCCCAAGAATATTGCTACACTGAAACAGTTGTGTGAAGAGGAGTGGTCCAAAATTACTCCAGATCATTGTGCAGGTCTGATCTGCAACTACAGGAAACGTTTGGTTGAGGTTATTGCTGCCAAAGGAGGGTCAACCAGTTATTAAGTCCAACGGTTCACATACTTTTTCCTCCCTGCACTGTGAATGTTCAATTAAACCATGGCAACATGTAATGTTTGTGTATTATTATTTTCAGCAGACTGTGTTTTTCTATTGTTGTGACTTAGATGACATTCAGAGCACATTTTATGACCAATTCATGCAAAACTCCGCGTTATCCCAAGGGGTTCACATACTTTTTCTTGCAACTGTATATATATGTTAAGGTATGAGACAAATGCAACAAGGTCTCTCAGATAAATGAATGAGGAATGAGCATAAAGTTTTGTGCAGAACTCAAAAATGACCAATGAAGTCATAGAAAAACAGTATTTTAGTGAACAGACATTTAAATAATGACCAGAAAGAAAACAAGGACTAGAGTAGAATAGATTCCTGGCTCACTGTTTATAACTGATAAGTACTTGCTTTCTTCAAACTAAGGGAAATAAACAAACAAACAAAATATGGCAATGGGATTTTAAATTAGAGAACAATCAATGCTATATGCTAGAAAAGTATCTCTTTGAACAACACTAATGGTGTAATTTGGTGAGCAGTTATTTATAATAAAAACTGGCTAGGACACTTGATAGCCAAGACTCATCGCTTGCCTCAAATATGATTGTCAAATAATGGATAATCCTTTTGTGGATATAACACTTGAAAGATAATGGCAAAAAAAATATGTATATATAAGGCCTTCCAATTCATTGTCCATCTTGCTAAAGGCACTGAAAAACAAAATAAGAGTCCCTCCATTTGAAACATAGAGTTCCGTAATGTAAGTCTCTCCATATGAAAAATTCCTTTATTACATGGGCCGCTGACTTTTTTCTTCAACTAAAGAATAAAAGGGTTTTCCCTTTTCTGGTGTTTGTAGTCGGTTCAGCCTGGCAACCTGAGATGGTGAAGGTGGTACATCATGCCTGAAAGGACCTTTGGGAGTGGCATAATTAGGGTCCTGAGCTTTCTTATGGGAGTCATAGTTGTTGGGCCCTTCAGAAGAAGTCTTTTTTTTCAGCTGTTGCTCTCTCCGCCGGTGTTCCTGACGGAGGAGCTCTTGTGTTTCAAGCAAGACTCGAGCATTGAAGCCGTGGCCCCCGAGGTAGCCGTTCCTAGAGCCTTGGTAACTGGAGTACCGAGGGTTGTCTTTAGCACTTTGAAAACCTTCACCAGGAAGATAGTTCTGTTCCCAAGAATCTTGAGATACAGAGCTGGCATTTTTCCGACTTTGTCTAAAAATAGAAATATATATATATATATATACTTATGTAAAAAGGGTTACTTGCATTTTAAATGTGTATTTTACTTTTATAAAGCTCTGTTTTAGTTTATGTTGTACTCATTCTATCTTCAATGAAGCCTTTATCCTATATGATCTTAAATAATATCAGTAATAACATAAATGAGCCACAAATAACTGTTGGTTATGGCTAGATAGCAATAACAATAGCACTTAGACTTATATACCGCTTCACAATGCTTTACAGCCCAGTCTAAGCAGTTTACAGAGTCAGCCTATTGCCCCCAATAATCTGGGTCCTCATTTTACTGACCTTGGAAAGATGGAAGGCTGAGTCAACCAGAATCGAACTCCTGGAGTGAGCAGTGAGTTAGCCTGCAGTACTGCATTTTAACCACTGCACCACCATGAGCATGTTTGACTAGTGTGCCTCAGGAAGTATCTATTGGCCAATGTGAAACTATTATAGTCTCGATGTTTGCCGTGGTTTAGTCCTGCAAGACTTCTTCTAGGGACTGGACCACAGGCTCTTTCTTTATTTTTTACAATCTAAACTACAAAGTGAGCCTCATTCTGGAGTGAGTTCCATTGTTTAAGCATTATTGCCAAGAAAGCCATCCCAAAATGAGTTCAATATACTCGAATAAGAAGAATTGTACCAAATCAATATGACATAAATTGATGATCAGCAGGGAAAGTTTGCTTTTGTTGTTTACAAAAATAATGCTAAGCATTTAACTATTTACACCCTTTATATTTCCTGACAATGATTACATTATAATGCTGAGATTGTTATGACTTCAATATATGAGATCGGCTTTTGGACTGGAGCCTTATCTTTTGCAGAAGATGTGATTGTGGATTAGTTAGATGCATTTGGCACATCCTAACATATTTAATGGCAGATCTTCTATACAATCCAGCTGCTCTAGACATAACTGATCAAAAGCAGGATATAAAATAGAAATTGCTCTATGCTTTTGTTCCAAATATTTTTTCTTTCCTTTATTATATCATTTCATGTTGTGTGGATACCAGTCTAATCAACATTTTCCTCTCCCTTTTCTTTCTATTTATCACAATATCCAAATCTAGTAGAATCTAAAGTCTGGCTATGCATAGAAAACATAAACATATTACCCCGTAGAATTAATAAACCCAAATCCTTAGTGAATGTCTACTAACTTGGATTTTTAAAATGGGACTAGATAAATTCTTATCAGAGAGGACTGTCAATGTCTTGAAGATAGTATTAGACCTAAATTCAGCATGCCTTCAAATAACAGGGCAATAGTAGCAAGAGAAGAGATGGTCTCCACTTGTTGCCCCAGCATTGGGTTAACCAGTGTAAGAATACTGGCTTAAAGTGGGCTTTGTCGTGATGTAGCAGCTTTCTTTGTACATTTTATGTTCCATGTTTCATATAAATAGCCAGATTTTTAAGATTAAGATATTTTCTAGTCAGCATCTGCATGTTATTATAATAGGCTAAATCTGGAAAATCTAAACTGGAATATGACAATGATTAACAGCAAATAGCATTGGATAAAATGAGTGCATCTTAGAAGAACACTGACCTGATAATTTTATCATGCTAGATTCTCATGAGATGATGACTTTTATTCTCTCTTCTGCCACCTAATGTGCCTCTGCCTAGTTTGGCTTGGTTAAGACAACCAGCTATTCTTCAGTGTAAAAGTTCTTTGAATATTATGGTATTGACATCTAGTACGATTAGAATAATGAGAACCTTGAAACCCCTTAAAAGGGGCCACAAACTGGGACATTAGTATGCATAGAATCAATGACCTTGATAGCCAAAGGCCTATCTTTTTTCTTAGCCTGCAAATTCAACCTCTCTCAATAAAAATGGTTTACAACGTATTCTCTATCTGAAGCATTAACCAAATGACTGGCCGCAATCGGAAATCCTATTTATGTGTATCATATCACCTTTACTGTGGTGATGTCTTACTATAATGGGAAGGATCTATGTTTTGCAAGAGGGAGGCCATTTACTGCATTCAAGGAAGTGACAGGGGCGAAATTCATTTAATTTGCATTTTAATGGGCGCTTAACTCAATTTGTGTGCCCTGAACCCATTAAGTGATGCAAGTCAGAAATGCATTCAAAATTGTGTACATGACAGAAAAGTACATGCAACAACCATCAGACTAAGAAAATATGCATCCAAAAACATATGACATTCAGTTGAACTGCTTGCAAAAAGGTGGAGTTATGAAAAGAAGCTACAAGGCCCATGTGTTAGAAGCATATATAAAAAAAGGCATGCACATTTAATGTGAACTGTTTAAACACTTGCAAATGGAATCAGCCATGGAGAGAACACATTTAAATGAATAGTAGGAACGCTATAGAGCACAAAACAATCCCAGAAGCAGGAGTATTCTTAGGGCAGGATTAAAAAAAAAGTCAAGATGGTGCTCACAAATGATTGTGATCACTCATAAAAGCAGGCAGAGCTTCAATCACTTTTTTTTGGTGGCCATCTTGACTTTTTGGATCATACCCAGCGGTCAGCCCTGCCCAGATGTAAAAATGAGTATTTCAACCCACATTCCATTATCATTTATCTGAATGCTGTCTGAAACAACAGCCTAACAGTTCATGTAGATGTTCCATGAATAGGAGAGCTAAGTTTATCATCTTTTGAGCCTTTTAAGTGGTCACCCCTAAACCCAGAGGCCAAGCACCCTTTTTCTTTGTGTTCCCAAATCCACTGTACTCAGGTGGCTCAAGAGAATTGCATTTCCCAATGCTTTTTCTACTTGAGATAATACAACCTTTTTTTCCTTAAAATTAGAGGAAGAAATAAAAGATGGGCAATAGAGAGAGAGATTGTTGCTAAATGTTCTGATATTAGATAAATCTGAGTCCTTTGATGATGCTAAAAAGAATTACAAGTAATCTATGAGGGTTTTTTCTCATGCAAAATATTTCAGGTGATCTGTTACAATTGTGGTGGCCTTGCTTTTCTATCCATATAAGCTGGTATAATAATTTCTGTGCACCTGCATGTAACACAATGAGATTGTGAAGTATTTGTCTTTTATATCTAATGTGGATTTCATTCTTACATTTTAGGTCCTTTTGTTTAAGTTTAGATAAGCCTTGTAGAATAACAATGCTTCTGAATCTCTTCATGAAACGACTTAGATAAACTGAATGAGCCCTCTGAGTATATAATGCTAACAAGGATTCTAAGATACATTTTTAAAAAAGTTTCTGAATGATATGTTGCAGCTTGGAGCTGAATGTGACTTTAAGGAGTTTTGGACTTAAAATGACAAACATTAATTGGATATCCTTGTTAAAAGGAGTTCAAAATTGGCTAGTCTATTTATAACAATTTGATCTGTGGATAGAAAGATAAATTATGAATTATGAATAGCAATTATACTTATAAATGCCTGGATATAGCGCAGTAGTTATGAATTTGTTTGTGTATAGATAGTTTGTATTACAGAGCTTGATTAAATGTTTTGCCCTGAACTGAGTGTATCTTCTGAATCTTTACAAAGGTTATTTGGTAACACTTTGAAACTAACAGATGAAACAAAGCACTATGTGTATTATAGATTAAAACGTACACATTGCACATGCTTATTTTCAAGAACTCTGAAAATGTGGTTTGCTTTTCAGACCCTTCACCCCCTTGGTAGCCATTCTGGAATTTGCTTCAGAATTGACAGTTGACAGAATTGAACTAACTACTCCAAATAGGGTCTGAAAAGCATGGGGTTGAAAAAAAAAATACTTCCTGTAATCTGGCCTACAGCAATCTGGCCTACAGTAATCTGGACTACAGAAATCTGAGTTACAGAAATACTTCCTGTAATCTGGACTTTATGATCCCACCAAGGCCACCTGGAGTATTAATTGTTTTTTAAGCAATTGCATTAGGTTGCTGGCTCACATTGAACCTGTGATTGACAAGGACATCCAGATCCCTTTTACATCCACCATGTCTTGCCCATCCTGTATTTGGCCTCACATTTTTTACCTACCCAAGTTCAGAACTGTATACTCCTCCTTGTTAAATTCTATCCTATTCTTTCCAGCCTTCTGCTCAAGCTTATCTCAATTGGGGTCAGTTTGGACAAAAATCCTGAATAGTAAAAAAAAAATCAGACAAAGCCCTATGGCACTCACTTCCCTCCAAATTGAAGTTGAGCCTTTCATGAGCATTCTGCAGTCATTTGGTCCTACAGAAGACTAAGTAGGGATCCTGTGTGGCCCTACAAAACTTGTAAACTGCAGTTCCCATATCCCCCAATCAGTATAAAATCAGGTAACAGAGTTGTAGTCAAGTAACATCTGCAGGGCTACTATTGCTACATCTAACGAAGGGAAAATGAGTAAATATGGGCTTTTCTCAATCATTTTTCCATTTTATGAATTGCAAAAAGGAATAACAAAGAGTAGCAACATTCTACCCTGCAGACATGTTTTTTTTATTCTTATAAAGGCAATCCCTCATTATACCTGTTTAAATGAAAAACTTTTTCATACATAAATCCATTGTTCTAAGGAATTGCATTGCATTTGTAAATTCTGCTCTCCATTCTATTTACAAACTGTCAGGGATCCCCAGATAATATCGCCCAAAAAGTCAAAATGGAAACCAAGATGGTACAATGAATTGTTTTTTAATAGCAGCATAGTGATTGCTATCTTGACTTTTTTTTTTTACTATAGCCTGTTGTTTGTCCCTGAACTGCACATGATTCAACTCATCTAATTGGCCAGTTTAAATCATTAATCAAATGTGTTGAAGGCCTTACTGTATATACATATACATACAGTATATACAGTAGTTACAAGCAAAATATTTTTCCTTTTGAAGTTCATCTGTGTTCTGAACTGAGGACTATATGTTTTGTCTAGGGTTTTGTTTTGTTTTGTTTTTGGTGTCTTTGTATTCCTGGCAAATGCCTGGAAAAGTCCCTGCAGTTTTCTTGGCAAGATTTTTGGATTATTTATCCAAAGACTGAGAAAGAAATAATGGTTCAAAGTAATTCTAATTGGCAGAAATTACAATCTCCCAATTTCTAGCTTGGTGCCTTAACCACTTCAACGTACTGGCTCTTTGAACCACATGCAGCACTCTGTATATAAATCTTCAATTCCCAATAAAGCTTATTTGTAGGCAGCATTTAAATATTGCAACCAATGACACATTTTCCCATACAATGTGAATGTATGTGTATCATATTTTTATGATACACATCTGTGCTAACATCCAAAATGTTATCAGCAATAGAAGAAAGTGGCTATTACTGCTACAAGTATTGTCAAATTAATACTTATTTTCTCTTAATTACTTGAATTGTACAAGGCCTTATGCATTTTGGACTTTAGACTTTTCCATGACCTATAGCTTTTTCCTGAACCAGGTACCTTCAGATATGTTATACTACGACTTCCTTTTATCTCATAGACCAAGTCATGCTGATTTCATACAATTGGAACTGTAGTTCAGTTTAACAGGAGAATACTAGGCTGAGTAGAATGAAGCTGCAAGAAAATCAGCTTCCTCTCCCGGTATATTCTAAGCAAATTTTGTCAGATTGGTTCAGAAATACTGCACACAAGTGAATATTATATATCTGAGTAGCCTGGCTCCCTTTTTATAAAACCAACCTTAATTTGTTTCAGGGGTTCACCTAGAATAAAATTAATGGACAGGGAGGTTTTATAAAATGAGGTGAACATGCATGGCTGTTTGTAGAATGGCTTGAGTTCTTCTCCTAGCTATATATATATATGTTCATTAGAATATCTGTAGAAGGCTCCTCACAAGGTAAGAAAGGTCGGCTGAAATGGTATCAAGATGTCAATTCCAAAAATTGGTTTTTTGAATAAGCAAATTGCCTCCCCCATAAATCTCAGAATTCCAAATACAGTTGCTAGCACCAAAATTTGGCCCATTCCTTCTCTAATTGCACTGCAGTCTTGCTCTATCCCATAACTTCATTTCAATCCAGATCAGGTTTAGCCCCAACAGAAGTTCTTCTGAACCAAGAAGGCATATCAACATAATGGTTTACAGGTAGTTCTTGACTTACAACCACAATTGAGCCCAAAATTTATCTTGCTAAGTGAAACATCTGTTAAGTGAGTTTTGCTCCACTTTCTGACCTTTCTTGCCACAGTTGTTAAGTGAATCATTGCCATTGTTAAATTAGTAATATTGTTGTTAAGTGAATCTGGCTTCCCCATTGACTTTTACTTATCATAAGGACACAAAAGCCGATCAGATGACCCAGAGAAACTGCAACCGTCATAAATACGAGTCAGTTGCCAAGCATCTGAATTTTGATCAGGTGACCATGGGAATGCTGCAATGATCGTAAGAGTGAAAAATGGTCATAAGTTACTTTTTAAATGCCACTGTAACTTTAAATTGTCACTAAATGAACTGTTGTAAGTTGAAGACTGCCTGTATTTCCTTCTAAAGAAATTGTTATTAGTTGGCTAAAGAGTTTTTGATACATGCCGTACCTGGGTAATGAACTGTATTGCCTCTGAGCCTGCTGGAAACTCTCTCTTTCCTCTTGTCGTTGCTTCTGCATCTGAACTTCTACTGATACAGAATGTCTGCCACTCTGTGAATAGGTCTTTGAATTTGGCTAGGAAATGAAAAACAATTATTGTTAATAGTACGAAAATAAGAACAGGTGTGGTAGCCTAGCGGTTAAGACCCTGGGCTTGTTGACTGGTAGACTGACAGTTCAAGACCCAAGTACCTCATGACAGGGTGAGCTCCTGTTAGTTCCCCCAGCTCCTGCCAACATAGCAGTTCAAAAGCATGCAAATTCAAGTAGATAAATCGGTACCACTTTGGTGGGAAAGTAACAATGTTCCGTGCACCTCAGCATAATAGTTATGCTGGCCACATGACCACGGAAGCGTCTTCGGATAACCCTGGCTACCTTGGCTAAGAAATGGAGATGAGCACCGACCCCCTAGGGTTGGACACGACTGGACAGGGGAAACCTTTACCTTTTACCTTTACTATAATAAGGCTCTCTTTGTAAAGGCCTGATTCTGTGATCATCTATGAAAGATTTGAATTTACATTAATGACATTGTCTCTTTTTCTGGGATACATTTAAATGCAGGCTTCTGTAAATGAAATATTAAATGCTAAAATAACTACTGCCATCTGAATTTTTTCTGGTCTTCTTTGAAGTTTCTCTAGAGCAATAGAGAAGCTTCAATCAACTGGGGAAATACATTTAATTTTACTCTACTGAACCTCTTGGGCATGCAAACTTTCCTAATGACGTACATCCCTGGTCTTCTGCATCACTCCTCTTGCTATTGGATTCTGTGTATGCCTCTGGTTGGAGAAAAGGGGAAAAGCAAAAGAAAATGTAAAAGATGAGGAAGAGGAAACAAATGCATTTCCTTGCAAAAAGAAAAAACTAGGGTAGTTTATTTGTAGTTCGAAGATCACCCAGAGGATAATGTTGGGAAAGGGTGATATAAGTCAAAGTTGCTGATACTGAATTTCCCTCCCTGTCCCATACAACCTCTTAAAATATGTCTTTTTTTTTTTTTTTGCTTAACTGTATTTTGGCTTCTTTGTTAATTATGACACTTGGAGGAAAATATGAACAATTAAAAACTGAGAGCATTTCACATACTGTTTCAAAGTCAGAGACTGATCTGAACCATAAAACCTTCAGTTTAAATTTATGAAGTAGATTCACTTATTATAGATTAACATAACCTTAGCTGTCGGTTTAAAAAAATTTGAGGCTGTCATGACCAAAAAGGTTTAGCACTGAAAATATGTTTAAAAGATATTTCCTCCCTTATTATTAAAATATGGATGCCTGAATAGTCTTTTTTTTATTCAGCAATGTTTTCAGATGAATATAAGAGCTTTATCCCTGTTAGGAAGAGATATTTTATGTATATTATCTATAAGAATGAAATCCCACTGACTCTGGACAGGGTAAGCCACCAACCTGGTTACAATGGCTTAATGTCAATGCTAGTCAGTTTCACTCAAAATAAGTAGTTGCCACTTTGATGGGACAATTTTGTGATCTGAGAATGCATCCTACCAGATTTAGGGTCAATTCAGTACTGAGTCAAGACAATTGCACATATATTCTACAAGGGAAGAAATATTGGATATAAGCATACAAACAACTAGCTCTGTTTAACTAGTTACTTTAATTCATTAGAAAAAGCTTCCTGATTCAGGGACATTCTAATTCATATGCTTCTATTTTTAATCTTGTTACGCTCTTACTGATTAGCATCTGTAGAATCCTGAAGTATAAGAGAACCACTAAACAGCTTATCTCTTAAAAAATAGTTTTCAATTTTTCATTTTTTAAAAATTCTTAATCATGTTCATTCAGAATGTAGTACAATTTTTCCAACTGATTTATGTTTCTTCTATTCTCATTTGCTGCTTCATAACATGCAACTATCACCAATATTCAGAATTATACTTTTCTATATACTGTACTCAAATTAATCTAGGTGATACCAATTCATACTTTCTGACATACATTTTCATTCAAAATAGATCCTACAAGTTTACTTCCATGCAGTCATCAACTCTACTACGGAAGATTAGACAATCTTCATTTTTATCTATTATCTTTCTATGAGTTTTGTAGACACACAACATATCTATTTTCCATTGTTTCCGGTTATTTGTTAATTCATATTCTTTATAATTTTTGCATTCCAAATCAAAAATTTTACATATTTGTGTCACCAATGGCATCTAGATATTTAAAAAAAAAAAAAATTTTATTGGTTTTTTAATTAATACAAAGTGCTCAAGACACACCGTGGGGCTGGGGTAATTAGAAATCCACAAACAGAACATACATAAGTAATTCCATCAATACATCATATATTCCCTCTTTATTTCCCTCCAATGGCTTATATATTTAAACTATTTCTACCTTAAATTTTCATTAATCCTAAACCTGTTTTAAATCTTTATGCAATTACAAAACCATAATCAAATTTGACTTCAAATAAACACATTATCAGTTCAGGTATCGCTTCTAAATATGTCCTAATTCTTTAATTTCATCATAGATCTTATTTATTCCACAAATCTCTCCCAGTTAAAATAAACATTAATCTATCCTATATACATAGCTCATCTATCAATCCATCAACTTTTTTTTTTTGTTTTAACAAGATAGTGACAACCTTAAATCATTTGAGTCCCTTAGGTAAGAATCTATTTTCATCCAATTAATTATCAAATCTACTATAATCCATATTATCAAAGCAAACGTATCATCTTATTAAAATCACATTCCATTAATTATTGATTCAGTCCCGATCTAAAACATCTCTTCATTTTTCTTCATTCCATTATATAATACTTTTCATACATTAATCACCCATTTTTTCTTATTTCCATTCAAAAACCCAATCCTTCACTCAGTCCATAGTTCTAAAATGCCTTATATCCAGTATATATGATTTTAAATTTCTTTTTTCAGTCTTATTCTAGGCTTTTTTTTTTTGCCAGGCAGGTTTCCACAACAACGCTTCCCTTCCGACCGGTAAATCTCTCTTTGTTGCTTGTAGTGTTGTTTGAGGCAGTAGTGAGCTTCCTGTCATCTGGATTTCAGATCTCCATCTTTGTTTTTTCTGGTCCTCACAAATATAGATAAGATGCTTGTAGGATGCAATGAGCTCCTCTGCATTCTCAATGAAGTCATCTTTTGGTGTATTTTGGTTTGTAGAGTAGTCAGGCATATTCTAAACATCACTTTTAAAATTTGAAGAAGAATCTCTAATTCTTAGTTCTGTGGTGATCTCTTTCATTGTAACAAGTTCCTCTTTAATTTCCTTTAATTACTCTTCTGGTATCTTTTGGTTTGTAGCATAAACAGATGTAGTCTGAAGATCAGTTTGAGAGTTTGAGGTGGCATCAGCTTTTCGTTCTGTAGTAATCCTTTTCCTTATAGCGCATATTTCTTCAGAAACCTCATAAATCTTTTCCAGTATAAGCTTGCAATTTAAATGAGAGTGAAGGTTCTCCATTTTAAAAGTAGTCAAAGAAAGTCTTTTCTTAAACAGTGTCCACCCCCTCAGTTCTCACAGCTGCACCAGCTTATCTCTTCCAAAGATATTTTGAAGGTCAGGTTTTTATCCAAGAAATAGCTGCAATATTAATTTTTCACCACTAGATGTCCTCAGTAAATAAAAAAAGCTTTTCCAGACACCCTTTTTCCCCCTTTTTTTCTCTCTTTTAAAGGAAAGAGTGGAGAAAGAAATATTCTTCCAATGTTAACTCTTAAAAAAAAATTCAAAGAAGCATGTTTTTTTTCTGTATCCCAAACTGAGTGAAAATAGATTATAATCTTTAAAAAGTTTCAACGCCTCTCTTCCCACACGTATAGAAGCCGCTCTTTTCAAACGGGGAAATAGTTCCAACCCAAGTTTTTTCAGGCAAAAAGAACCAAGTAAGGGAAAGAGAGGGACTAAAGGGGTCTCACCCGGATCCTCTGCGGTGGGTCTAATCTCACTTAGTTGTAATTGTGACTTCGGCTGGTGCAGCAGGATGATCAGCCATCTTGAAGGACGATCGTTGCTCCATCGGCCCTAAGGAAATAGCTGGAGCCACGGGAGAAGCTGCCGCTCTCATGCAGTTGCCAGCAAGCCTCCTTCTCGGTGGTTGCCCCTCCAGGGCAACTTTCGACCCACCAACGAAGAAAACCCGGCCGGGCTGGAGACGAATCCCCAGACACGACCGGCGTCGCCGCGTACCTGAACCGGAAGTCACCAATGGCATCTAGATATTGATCTCCATTGCCCATCATACTTCTGACCAATTTTTAATAATATAAAAAAGGTGTCAGAATAAATCATTAGCTTTAGCTAGTCACAAAAATAACAAAAATTACAGGAGCTAAATATTTTTGCTATACCAACTGTAGATTAAAAAAAGTTGTATCTTGCAATGTTGCTTGCATAAATCTTTAAGCTCTTGGCTGGAACTTAAATTCCCAAAGAACATTAGTCAAAGATGTAATTCTTTTTGTTTGTTTGTATCATGTTTTTCCTTGTTGAAAAAATAAGAATAAGACCATGAACAACAATGTGTAAGCAATCTCAACAGGGCTTTCATGGCACAAAGTGGCAAGTAAGAAGATAAATTCTAGGCAAGAAAAATAACACGAAGATCACAATCTTATCTGTATTTAATTCCTAGTAGATTTGAAAATTGGCTTCATAGCTGACATGGAACTCTATATGCAAAATGAACCAATATACCCAAACCGGTGATTTTCTAAATGCATTTTCAGTACATCTTAGGAACACTATTTATATTCATTTTATATCATATCTACATACAATGATTAAGCCTGATATTTATCACAAATATCAAAACTAGCCTTTTCATTATATGGTAAAATATAGTTCCCTGTACAAATTGTGTGCTCAGAGTATAACTTCCAAACAACTTAACACCTGTACAAACAGGGCAGTACAAGGTGAAGTACAATTATCATAATTCTTTAAAGCTATCAAATAAAGCTGGCTCTGTCTTAACCCGGTTAATTGCAGGGGATTTGCCCTTGTCTATGTGGAGATGTATCATAACTGTTGATCTTTTAAATCAAATAATCAA